TTCATGGTTCCAGGAGTAAAACTGATGGGGCCAAGGGATCATAAATTTGATGATTTAAGATGGTTAACAAAAATGTCATCACAATATGTAAATTTATTCTTTTAAGTCTGACCAGAGGGGATCAATGTGGGATAAATTTCCCCTTTCAAACTGATACCACGTTTGCCGCTGCTACCAACAATATTAGCCATGTATTTTACAATTTTCTAATAGTGATTCTGCATATTTTCCCTAAAACATAATAAACTATCATCGGTATATTGCCATGTCCCCTAATGTTAAGACATGTTTTCTGTTGTTATTTTGACTGAATTTCAATTTATATGACCTTGACCATGTCCTTTGACCTTTTGTTCCCAAAACGTAATCATCTCTTAAATTGTCATGTAGCGCTAATATTTTCACTAAATTTTACTAAAAAATTGATTTTATGTGACCTTGACCTTTTGCTTTGACCTTTTCTTCCCAAAGTGTAGTCTCTTAAATCGTTATGTAGACCTACCATTTTCACTGAATTTTATGACGTAGGAGTGTGTGGACTTCTGATTGTGAGATCGGGAGTTCGAAACCGACGTTCATCGCATTGCTTGGGCAAGGCACTTTACTTGCAGTACGTTTGCCTCTCTCCACCCGGGAGTATAAATGGGTACCTGGTAGGATGGTATGGCATTGAATGTATGAGTCGTGCGCGTTTAAGAAGCAATGACCAGGGATACTCCACAGGGAACAGAGAAAGTTGCACAATGTGCGAATTTGCCAATGCAGTGTCCAGTGACCAGGGAAATAATGATGCAAGCGCCTTGTATAATCGTTTGTAAAATCTGTGGATTGTGAAAGTCGGTATATAAATTATGGTTCTATAAAAACAAAAAAAAATTGTTTCTTAGTTTTTGCGTAATCTTGCTAACAGACAGACAGATTTATAGTGGTGAATACATAATCTCCTTTGGCAGAGGTAATAAACCATCTGTGGTTAATCTTAAAAGAGAAAGAAAAGAGAACATTTTTATATGAATTATTAAATTGGCAAGAAAATATATTTTCATTTAAATTTTCAATTGATAGAAAAACAATTTTGTTTATACAAAGTAAACATTAACGTAATCTCAACCGCCACCGGGATTTGAACCCAGGACCTGTCGCTTAAAAAGCGGACATCATAACCAACTAGACCATGAATGCATTTTTTTAAACCAAAAAACACATTCTTAAACTATTAAAATATTGCATTTTAAAGTGCTCACATATTTGCAAGAATGAATTATACAGTTTATGACCATACTAATTGGTTAGATTCTTGTATTTGTTTGAGATGGAAGGTCAGTGACAGTACTTTTCATATAGATAATAATAAGATTTATATAGCGCACATACCCGCTGCAGTAGTGTTCAAGGCGATACAAATTGACGGAACTAAAAATAGATAAAGATACAACTTGTAAAGATCAGGCCAAAAAAAAAAAAATTTTGTGTTGGCCACGTTTTGGGAAAACACCAAAAATGGGTATTTCGGTAGGAAAAGGGGGTTTTTTTTGTCCAATAATGTGTTTATGCCTAAAAAAGCAGAAAATACACAAGAAATACAACAAAGACCATTTTTAAACCTATATTGAAGAGCAAAACAATCGCATAACACTGTCGCATCCCCTGCCGTCCAGCAAGATAAACCTATTCCAGCCTTTTTAGCTAATTGAAAGAATATTTTTTGTCAAAAAAAAAAACTAAAATGCCGAACCTCAATTTCGTGCATATTGGGTCGGGCGGGCGTGGCCAATACAATATTTTTTTTTATTTTGCTAAAGCTAAGTATCACCCTTTGGTTATTTCCTAGTGCTTTAATATTCAAAGTAAAATACATGATTGAGATAATACAGACAATATCTACTAACTATTTACTATATCTGTCTCTTATACACATCTGGGCAGGGATAATAAACATATCATTTTTTTTTTAATGGGCCCTTGGTGGGTGATTTATTTTTTTAGATACTGAACAAAAAGAAAGAATTTATATTTTAAATTATAAGTTGAGAATGCATGAAAGAGTAATACACAGTACTGTAGTTAATTAATGATAGAATAGGAGCTGGTATTTTGTGATTTTCTTTGTTAAGACCAATTTCTCGACTTAATGGTTGACTGAATTTGATGATAGCAACACTCCACTTAAAAAATATTGTCTAGACAGGACTCTGTCAATGGATGCATAACATCATGTTTTATTGTAATTTACAGCGTAAATATTCTTAATAATTTAGATAATATAATGATTACGACTGGCGTTCATAATTGATGTAATGCCGGTAGCTGTACAGTGCATGCCTGAACCGTCTAGACATTTGTATACCCTGTCTTGGATGCTTAATAAGTGCATAACTTGAAACCACCTTAGCTCCCTGGGGAACTGGCCTTGTACAACACTACAGCTGAGTCTGCAGCAAACATAGCAATTGCATCATTACAGCATTCACATTTCTACCAGGTACGCAAACTGCCTTATTATCATCATTTTTATGCAGTCTTTTTTTTCATTCACTAAATGTAATCTTGCAATGCAACGCAAAGGGTGGTTGACATTGCTGGTCTGAAAATGTCTTGAAAATACCTTGTCCATGTCTAGAAAATAAATTTTTTTTAATATTTTTTTTTTTTTTTTTGTGGTATCAGTTTTTTTTCCCCCTTTTTAATTCTCTGTTGTATCATAGATGTTGGTCTCTTTTAATCAGAAATGCCTTAGATCAGATAAGTTTTATTGGTCCAAAAATTGCTTTGGAAATTTGCTTTCCATAGGCACAAAACGGCTATCTGAAATAATAAATAAATAATAATAAATTATAAATATATTATGTAGTGAACCATGGAAAATTCAACCAAAAAATATATTTAATATGCCATAAACATACATTATGTTCTTTTTCTCACAATTTACATTGACATAAAAAAAGTCATGGAAATTTTCATTGATAATATTTAAATAGGCCTAGCAGTATTTACAGTATGTTACAATAAAAAAAATTATTGATATACTTTTATTTGTCTGGGGCTCTTTTCACTCATGCATTTGTTTATTTCAGTATTACAGCAGATTGACTTTAATTATAGTATATATACTGTAATATATGTATACATAAATAATGATAACAGTGCTGTCACATTCTATGATACAGTAAAACATCGATTTTACGAATGTCGATTTTACGAATAGTCGAGTTTACAAATGGTCTTTGCCCATGATGACGTCATCATCATACCATTTATTACCATAAAAAAAGTCTGATTGCGCACTATTTACAAAGTGATAATATATATATATATATATATATTATACCTGAATAAATAAATAAATAATCACTATATTAATGTAATAAACCTAACCAGAACAACAATCTACCAACGCAAGTGTCATTGGATTGAGTGCACATGTTTACGATGACGAATGAATGATGGGGTCGGCAACATAATGACATCGTGAATGCTAGATATGCTCGCGAAATGCATGTAAACAACACAATTCGGTGATTTACCAACTAGAAAAAACACGATAGAAAGGTCCATAAACATGCAGATGTTTGTTAAGTGGAAGAATGCCAGCGATTAAAATAATTTGTTTTTTATCGAAGGTGAATTCAGCTAGGGTCTAGCGCGGTAGACCACGCTGCTGCACTCTCTGTTCGTGCTAAGCCTGGCCGCTGTCGGCCTATCGGCGCTCAGTGGCAGGGGATAGCCAAGCCTAGGTATTGCAAACTGACACCCGATCTAGCTTACAAATTTTTCAATTTACGAAGACCCTCGGTACCAAGGGGTACGTAAAATGGACGTCTTACTGTACTCAGTTTATCATTTAGTGGTCAAACACAGTGGAGTGTCTATGGGTGCCCCCCCCTCCCAAAAGAAAAGCTCGAATATTTAATTTAGAAGCACTGATTATTGCAAAGAATGTTTCCTCTACCCCTCTAGTCTTTGTAAATGCTTAATATAAAATTAACTTTCTGAGATAGTTGAGACGTAATATACAATTTGAAAAGTCTGAAGCAAGCATACTGTAACTTCTGAATGGTACAAATGCAGATAGACTGTGATAAAAAGCACAATGAAGCGGTGGGCTATGGAAAAGTATCGCTATAGGTAGTGGACATTTTACGTATCTGCATATTCATTATGGTTACAGTACACAACAGTATATGTTTCGAAACACATTTAGACACATCTTCATATAAATGATATTTTTATTTGCCACAGAAATTACCTATGAATGTTTTAGAGGACTATTTAACCATATACAGGAGTTCCACATTGGAAGAATCCACATCCAAGAGATCTGTTTAAATGAGCTTTCGTATTACACGTAATTATATTTTATTTTGCACCGTGATACCCAGTGGTACTGAATTCCGGGAGACAATAAAGTAGTGAACACTTGTAAAAACATGAAAGTTAATGAATTTGCAAGAGGTGGGTTATTGTGTGTTTGTGGGAGTGCAGGTGATCTTACTGATTTTCTGCAGAATCCCGAGAATTACGGGAGACTTGTCATGCAATTGGATTTTTTTTTTTTTTTTGCGTAAAATATATTATCATAAATAAAAATCTAAAATGTAGTCGCTAAGGGATAACTAAAGCGACGTTAAGGCGAAATCATAGACAAAATAGTTTCCCCCTAAGAGCCGAATAAAGGTGTATATATATATATATATAATATATATATATTATCATTTTCCGCCTATGGCTTACGTGCATTGTGAGTATGTGGCAATTTAGACGTGCTTGCACCTGTTGACCTGTTCTCTCTGGAATTTTATTTTTCATGTTTTTACTGTCTCTAATGTAAAATTAAATAGAATAAAATAAACAGCACCCAGAAAATGTAAATAATTGCGCCCAATGTTGAATGGAATGATGATAAACTAGAATAATTGTAATAAAATATGATTGTGTTCCAAATTATGTTTTTATAATAACACTTGACATATTATATAATCTTAATTTTTTTTTCCTTTTAGTGTACCAGTGTCACCACTGTAGAGCTTACTTCAGTACCGCCGTCTCTCGTCTCAGCCACGAGTTACAGGACTGTCCAGCATTAAGGGCAGGAGGCAATAATGTCAGTGACTCGCCGGTCCGATCTACATTTGGGATGAAGTCCAGTAAGGATGTCCACTCACCAGACAATCCCAAGGATGTTGCTAACCAAAGTGCTCGTGATCGTTCACCTGTAAGGACAGAACCAGCAGCTCCCAAGGAGTACAAATGTAAGTTATGCCCGCAGATATTTTACACCCGGTCTGACGTCAATCTGCACACAAGATCGCACAAAGAAGGAAAGCCACACAAATGCCAAGATTGCGGAAAAACGTTCGCCAGCACATCCTACTTGAGCCAGCACACTCGCATTCATACCGGTGAGAAGCCGTATAAATGTGAGTTTTGCGAGAAATCTTTCAAGCAACTGTCCCACCTTCAGCAACACACGCGTATCCACACAGGAGACCGTCCTTATCGCTGCACGTATCCAGACTGTGACAAAGCTTTCACGCAACTTGCGAATCTTCAGTCACACACCCGCAAGCACACAAAGGATAAACCCTTCAAGTGTAGAGACTGTTACCGTGCATTTGACGATGCCCAAGCCTTGCAACACCATGCTTCTTGTCATGCCCACACCAGACGAGAGCGGAAGCTATCCTGCGGTGTATGTGGCAAGGCTTACGCACAAGAATTGTACCTTATCAAGCATATGGAATCTAAACACCCACAGAGTGCAGCAACATCAAGTCTTGAGTCGCAGAAGTTTACAGGAAACGGAGCTAGTAAAGATAATGCGTCCGAAAATAGTGGCACCTCTAACAATCAAGAACACAAGAAGTACCCAAACCACTCCTCTTCGCAGCTAAGAGGATCTGACCATACTTCAAGTAAGCAGGAGGATATTCAACAACGTGAAGAGATTCTCCAGATGAAGAACAGGCAAGAAGAAATGCTGATGTCGCAGCACCGCCAAGAAATCCTGAACATTGAACACCAAGAAATGCTTAGCAGAGAAAGACAGGAGATGATCAACCGAGAGAGACAAGAGATTATGAATCGTGTCCAACGGGATGAGCTTCTGCACCAGGGTCGCCAAGAGAACTTACTGGTTCATCGGCAAGACCACTTTCTCACACCAAGACAACAGGAAGAGTTGCGTACACGTGGCATCAACATGTCTGCGTCCTCAACTTTATCACACCTTCACCACCTAGAAAAGGGGATGCTGAAGCCCAATGTAGTCCTGCCAAGGATGGATCCCACCAGTAGAGCTCACCACATGAAAGTTCCATTTTCAGCTGGGATGCAGATGCTGACAGGCATGCATCATGAAGCGATGCCATGTACAACAGAGGGTTTAGGAGTAGATCCGAACAAAAATGTATTCCATCACTAGAGCAATGAACTTCTTAGTTCTGTGAGATTTTTTTCCTAATTTATGTTTCAAATTGTTGGTTTAACTTTATCGGAATCTTTACAAGGTAGCTCTCACAACAATTTTTTAAATCTGTATAACAAAAATCTGACAAAATTCATCTCCATTTTCAAAAATCATAAACAGCACTTTTAAAGTAGCTCTGTACCTTTATTATGATATGTACGATAAATGTGGGACAGCCACTTTAAATACTGCTACTCAATGCTTTTAACTACAATTTTTTTATTATTTTCTATTCTAATTGTTCTCAAACCAGTAAATGACAATATTTGATGGTGACTAAAGCCTCTTTTGGATTGGACTTTTGCGATCGAACTAACCATTTACAGTATGGTCTATTTGACATAAATAAATCCAGTACGGACAGCCTACATTACTTTTTCCATGGTCAAGTCATCCAAGCCGCCCAGTAAGTTTAACCGAGTGAATCATGTCCAGGAAGAATAGTCTCGATGTTTTCCCAGGCTAGAAAAGTTCAATTTGAACAGCTGACTTGGTTAAATCTTTCTGTCCATTGGTGTTGTCCGTACTTAGGAATTTCACACACAATTTGTGCACCAAAATGTAAATGTGCACTACGATCATGTATTTAAATGACCATTTCTGCATTAATATTATTTACACAGGGTCTGATACCTACTGCATATTGTATTCCAATTGCGAACAGCGGTAAGTCGTCTTGGTCCAAATTGATGAAATGTTTTTACACGACTTTACACTGTTGTTACTCCAGTCACATATATTTTCACTAATATAATAATTTTGTTCATAGATTATAATAATAATGCTCATTGTTTTTTTTGTTATTATTCTTTTGATAATACTGTAACATTATTTTTACCACCATCATCACCACATTTGCTGACTTTTCATAACATTTGTATAAAGTGATCATAATTATAAGACGTCATTCTACTATCATTCAAATACAGATATTCTTTCTTGTTTACAGAAAATGTGAAATTCTGAAGCATTGTCATTCTAATAGTTAGCTTCATGATCATCATCATCGTCATATCATCATTATAAAGATCAGTATCATCACCATTATAATCATCATTGTCACCATCAACACAACTACCACCACTAAAAATCAATAACCAACTTAATTATTTTTTAAAATATTCCCTAAAATTTCACCAAAATGATATATTGGTATTGGTGATAGTAGTAAGTGTAATTACAAATTATTTATTTGTTGTATGTTTTTATTTTATATTTTTATGTTAATATATATTTGCAGTAAACAGCGCCACCAATCGTTTACCTTATAATTGGTGCTGACTTATTGTTTTCTTTTATTTCTTTTACGTATGTTTTTTTGTATTTGATCAATTTCTCAATCTTACCTGAGAAGGATTCAGTGCCTTTGATGAAAACATTTTCAGTACTGCAACAGAGCTAACGGCTATGGCTTCTCTAGCCACAAAGGTTTCATGAGCCTCAGAGGTCCACAAGTCATAGTACCAAAACCTCACAGGTTCCAAATTTCTGGAGATTACAAGAGCCTTGAAAGGTTCCACAAATCATGTTTTAAGAACTTCTGAGGTTCAACAAATTATTGAGGCTCAAAGAGCCGAAAAGAAGGTTCCATAATAAATCGTATAGGTTCCAAGAACCACAGTTGTTCCAAGAACCACTGTTGTTCCACAAATCATAGAGGTTCTAAGAGCCTTGGAAGTTCCATAAATCATGGAAGTTCCATACATTATAGAGGTTGCTCAGTGTTTATGAGCCACAAAGAGTTGTAATAGAAAGAGCCTTGTTATATTGGAGAGTATGGGCTATGTATTGGAGGGAATGCCTCGACGGAAAGTATTTTCTGTCTGCTGTGTAGTTAGTTCAGACTGATAAGTTTTCATTGTAATTAGACTTGCTATAAGCTACTGTACATGCAATTGGTTATAACTCTGCTGGTGCATTGTGGGAATCGATCTGTAACTATGTTGGGACCAGTGTTGTGTGTATGTGTGTGGAAATTCTGTTGTGTTGGATGTCAAAAAACGACAATACCGACAAAGATCGCTAGTGTCGATTTAAAAGAAGCTTAACTTTTTAGGAGGAATTCTCTCCAGTATTTGTAAGGTGAAATTATTAAGTAGTGTATTAGCTGATTTTAACAGAGTGGTAGATGTTGCAATTGCAACTAAAACTACGAATGCGCAATTGTTCTGTAGATATTCCGTGCCAGTTGCGGTGTTAGCTTGGGAAAATGGATATTATTTGCTTGCCAAAAAAAAAATAAAGAAAATTAAATCTAATTCTGGATTTAGTTTACTATAGAGGGCACTATAGGGTGATGCTTGTCATGGTAACATTGATTCAGAAGAATTTAATTGTGCAAAGAGATAAAATATATTATTGCAATGAATGATGATTCAATTCTGTGGATAACATATATTTAAAATGTGGGAAATTTTAATTTTAGGGCAATTTTTAAATCAATTTTACATAATTCTCTAAATTTCAATTTGTAATTTAGATTTGTATTATTTTACCAGACAACATTGGGTTTTTTTATTGCATAAATAGAATGTAGTTTTGCAAAATAAGAAAATATTTGGGAGTGGGATGATAATTTGGTTGTGAAATTTTCAGTAACCGTGGTAAGTTAAGACGATAGACGATTTAAGCCCAGCAATTTTGTAATTTAAGTAGAGTAATACAAGCAATCCAAGTAAACACGGTGGATAAATAAGTTTTACAAAGTCGTTTTGGGAAGCCATTATTTGGCTATTTTACGCTGCAAATGGGAGCTGATTATTTTTTAAAAATTAAATGTTTACATATTTTAAGGAATCTTATCATGATTGTATTATTCTTCTATACCTTCATTTTAAGGATACGTTTAACTTAGTGTAATAATTGGTATACGATCTATGAATGTTTTTGTTGTAAACAAAGTTATGGATGTATAGAAGGGAATAAGGAATAACCGCATGGTAGGATCAATCCAAGGCCGTACTGTTTAACAATGCACAGCATAAAGTACCACCAAGTGGGCTGAGTCAGAAGTGACGTTAAACTATTTGTATGTTTGTGGAAAAAGTGTTCTGAACATGCACAGATAAATAATGTGTATTCCGTAAGTATGCCAATGAACCGAAAACCAAATTTTTTCAAAGTTAAGAGAGAAACTCTAGTGTGCAACTTTTGGGCTATGGTAGATTTTATAGTTTTTATGTGTCTTTGATTTTGCAAAAATTAGTTATTTTCTGTTTAGTCACAATTCGTTGTAAAATGTACACAGCTGTTTTTAACAGAATGTACTGTATCCCACAAGGGGGATTTTTGTCAAAAAATCCATGTCAATTTATGGAGTAAAAATTTGCCTATTGCTTTAGGGTCAACTATGTATTGTACCTACTGAGAATATGTATTCAGTCCAGTAACTAGTTTAGACCAGTTAAAACTGGCATCAACTCCCCCTGAACTTGTTTCTTTTTCCTCCAGAAATTTTCATTGCATATATGGTTGAGAAAAAATGTCAGAATGTTATACTGTAAACAAATGCAATAGATATACTGGTCAACATAGAAAAAATATACAAGTTTCATTATAATTGAAAAGTTTTACTTAAAATTGTTATGTATTTTTCTTATACTTCTTCTCTGCTATGTCTATGTATCGTTTTAAAAACATACATAAATTTATATTATTGTTTTCAATACTAACTTGTTTAGAATAGTTGTTTTTGTGTAGTATCGAAACCCCAAAAGAACATGTTTTTCTCTCCGTTTGTTTGGTGAGCCCTGATTGTAGAACAGGCCTCAAGTTTGTAAACCTTTATTTGGTGCTTTACAATTAAATTGTGAATAGAAAGCATGTAACTGTTGTGTAATAGATTGTTGCTAGACCTGTATAACAGGCTGTACTTTGTTAAATTATTTTAGTGGTTTGTACATTATAAACGATTATACAAACGCTGCCTTTGTTTAAGTATTTTCAAAACCCAGTATGTGGAATTACCCCATCTCACTCAAACTGCTAATTTCTTGACAATCCCTCCATTTGCACTCAATATACCATTCTTGGTATGGTAACCAATTTGTTGCATCTACTAATTCGCACTAAATACAGTAAATCACTTGATTCTAGATTAGTCAATAAAATTGACTTCCACCTTAATCTAATCAAATTATCTTTGCCTATGTAAAATTACCTTTAGTATGAGTATTCAATATTTTTCATAGGATTAGCATAAATATTGTCTCCTTTTTAAACATTTAGTGTAAGGTATTTAAAATTATTCAATATTTTACATTGATAGTTGGCACTATAAACATTGCTTAATAGAATCAAATGACAAAACATTATTTTCAAAAGCTTGGGGACCTTATTAAGAAAACTCTGATCCGGGCCCATAACAGAATAGAATAATTGTGGTAAAGTCCCCAACATTTTAAAATTTAGATATTCTAATCCTATGTGCAATTCAAATAAATTAGGTATATTTACCAGTAATGAAATATTTCTGAAATGCCAATTTCAAAATATGAATGTTTAGTTCTAGTTTGATTTAATTTTACAAACTATGTCGATTTATAAATTTTACAGATGCCAGTACTATGGAAAGGAACCAAAAGTTAAAAAAAAAAATTATTTAACTTCTGCATTTTTTTAGCCTTTATCTAATCATGTGTTAGTAAATTGACTTGTGAAGGGGTAATTCCATTGAGGTTGGAAGGGCAAAACAGAGCATTTTCCTGGCAATTAATAATACAAGACATTGTAAATGTATTTGTGGTTAGATTTAAGTGTGTCATGCTTTTTAATCAATTTTTTGAATGTGTGCATTGCCAGGAAATTGCTTGCAATTTTTCCCCAATTGACATGGATGTTGAAACATCCACAGTTTGCACAAATCCATATAGCTAGATTAAGAATTTGTTTAATTTTTTTTTTTTTTTTTGTTTAAAAAGTAGATAAGTACTCAGAACACTTTATTTCTAATTCATGGCTCCATCAAATAAGGTGTCTTCTGCTCTAAGCCAAGATACTGTAAATATTCAAAAGTGCTATCAGATCTCTAGACTGTGTTTTAAAGCTTGGCACATATTGTCAGATTTTTTCTTTCAAACTCAAAGACAACATTTGATCAAACATGTTGTACGACTGCTAACAGCCATGGACAGAAAGATATTTAGATCAAATATGTTTGATGCTTGTATAGCTATATCAGATGTTGGTCTATTAAACAATTGTTGAGTCTGACGACCAAAATCTGGTAATATATGCCTGAATTTACATTGGGAAAACTCTACATGATAAAGGCAAACTCTGAAAATAGAAATGTCAATCAGAAAGTTTTGCAAATTAAATATTTTCAGTTGGCTGAAGAAAGCTTTCGAATATGATCTTTAGTGAAATGACTCGTGTAAAAAGTAGGTCCCGTTATTAGACATCCATAGTATTTAAATACTAGGTAACAAGCCAGTGTTGTATTTGCATGAACATCAATGCTTACCAGGGTAAAATACTTTGGATATTACTATTTTCTATATTGGATTTTAAAAATAACCCTTATAATATTATTTGCTGCGCGGCAAATTTCACCATTATGAGATCGATTTTCAGTATTCGAAGAGCACAATTTATGTCTTTTCCATGTTGCTTTCAAATATTCTTCTAGTTATCTATGCATCCCATGATATGGTGAATTTGTTTACAGTATTGGCCAAAATTATAAGTTCATAAACGAAACCTACATCTCCATTACAAGACTGCAGACAAATATTATTAAGCCCTGTCTACACTATCAAATTGTATGTAACAAATACCAATATTTGGATGTGATCTAACATCATCGTGCCAATATATGGGTGGGTGTGATCTAACATCATCATGCTCATATATGTTTGAGATAATGATTTGAATGAAGATGCATTGGAAGGTATCCGTACTATCAACTTTTGAAAAATTTGTGTTCATTGCCCATATATGGACATGATGATGTATGTGAAAATCACCGGTATTTCCCGCACAAAATTTGATATTGTGAACAGAGCTTTATGTTTAGATTTATGCACAATCTTCAGACAGGGCTTTTTTGATAACCCTCCATTTTGCAATGAAAGGGAATGTTTATTTTGATAAACAACCAACCAGTAATGATGGAAATGCTCAGAAACATCTGCTAGTTTTCAAGCAAATTCGCTATTGATTAAATAAAAAAAAAGTTATAAACAAGTTTGTAATATTTTCGTAAAGAAAATACGGTAGTTTACTGTGTGTGATGTGTGATTATTAGGGAGCTTTCGCAATGGAGTGTTTTTTCGTACGTTCTTCAGACGTTCTTCAGATGCATTTGCAAAATTTGATGTTTTGCATTTTCACATTGCTAACATAAGACACATAGAATCTACAAGTTATCATTAAGGCAAATGCGCAATGTACGTACATGCCGTGGATAGTATTTTGTTATGGGAATCATACGTTCACACAAACCTGGTGTGAGATTCCCTTCCATTTGCGAAAACTCCCTAAGTCCGACAAACTGATACTACTGTGTTTCAAACTGGTATTATCTTTTAAAGTTCCTGTGCCCGATGCCTATATGGTTTCTTAATGAGAAAAAATAAGTATTATAAGGTCACCATCCATCAAAAGTAACAGTTGAAGAACTTTAAAATGAAATATTATAATTTTGAGTAACGTTTAAAAATATATCCTGGGAAGCACGATTCAGTGCTGCCACTTTGGAAAACGTATTATCAGTACAAGTTGTACGCTATTCTGAGTTTGTGTATCTTTATAAGTATTAACCTTAACATGTTAAGAATTGTTACCATCCTTCTTGAGGTCATGCTAGCTAGCGTTTTTACGTTGAATTGATTTCTTGAATTTGTCCTGAACTGCCAGAGTTGCATTTATTCATTTCCCCTATCTTGTCATTAAAATTATCTCCCAAAAGATGGAACAAAGCATTACATTTCGGATTCATTTAATAAATCGTTTTCACTGCTGATAGTTTTTCTCTTATTATTTGCCGACGTACTTTCAATACATCCTCCAAAACAATACAATACAATAACTACTCAACTAGTAAAATTAAGCAATAGGCCTATATTGGTAAGTAAACCATAATTATTCGTTATGTAGATGTCAACACAATATTACCACCTTATGAATATTGATATCTGTGAATAAATTTGCATATATTATTGAAAACGTGAAATGGCAGCGTTTGTTCTCTTGTGGGTCTGCTGAAGTTTTCTCATTAAGTTTCAAAATTAAGCAGTTGATCACCCAAAATATAAAATACATCTTTTGTAGGATTAGCCTACTCTTAGTTTTTCTGTTAAAACCAAAAATAATTATTTATAAAGTTCGTTGGAATATATATAAATTTTGTAAACAACGTTACTATGTGAGAGATGAAGAAAAATTTTATTTAAAAGATAATTGTGGAAGATTATGTCAACAGATAGGGACTTCCATTGTGTTAGGTGGTCTATATGTGAGCTTTCGTGACAAAGCGAGTCAAGTTATTGATAGGCCTATACTATACTGTAATTAGATGACTATATAGGCTTTATTTTGGTCTTTGAATCCGGTTCCTAGAGCTTGAGTACAACCGAAGTAAGTCTGAAAATCGCCACTAAAGATATATAACAACTGATAAATTTAGTTGATTTCCCTATAGATTCTGAATAGTGTTTTACGAATTGTGACTCAAAACACTTCAATGTAAATCAACTCAGAACATTTGTTAACGTTCCTGAAACTTATCAGAAACACTAAAATTCAGTTTTTTCCAAAATATTAATTCATATAATAATATTTTCTTAAAATCTCAAGTTGGCCTGTCGTACAAGACTCATTTTGTCATAATACCTCGCATAGGCCTATGTGAACCTATGCTTTTTTCAAGAAGGTGCTTGTTGGATTATCTGAAGAGGCGCGGTGTCGATTGGGTTAAATGGATTTGAAATGTATTTTGGGGGCTAAACAATTGAGCGCCTTATAGATAATTAGCAATATCATGCACGATATGCACTCGTCGGATTTAAAGCCAGTGTAATTTTCTATGAGCAAGGGGTAATTATTGTGTCCTCGATTCTTGGGGAAGGTTACCACACTTAACGGCTATTTTCTGGACAATCTGAAGGTGGTGAAGATGTTTCAAAGTACAGAATGTGGCAAGCTACTGTATGCAGAACAGATTACCAATAGTCGAGTTGTGAATACAAAACGGACAAGCTTTGCAAGTAATCTCATTGCATAATCATCAATGGTCAGTTCTGAGAATTATATAAGAACATTTTGTATACTGTACATCCTCACAAACAACTTTCAATACCCACCTACTTCATGTACCAACAATATTTTTACTCAAAGCTAACCCTCTAACTGGAGACCGTTTATAATGTTTTAATTACAGAATTAATATTAATTTTACCTGTGTGGAAAAATAATGCCCATTTATCAGGATAACGGAATTCAATCAGATGCTTAAAATATTCATAAATTTAAAATTATTTCATAATTTAAATGTTTACAGAATTAATGATATTTTATTTACAGAATTAATGATAGTTCAACTTTACATTGCAGGTAAGTCTGGGTTCAACTAATTATACAGTAGTCTCAACGGAATTAAGACTAGACAGACAACTTATGAATATTCATAATTTCCACTATATAATAGAAAGTCATGATCACCATAACGAGAGTATTACAACTGTGGCGTTGACGTTTTGCTGCATCCAAATTACAAAAACAAATACTGACAACCATTATAAAGTATAAATAAACCAAATAACATATTTTAAATAGTTAATTATGTTAAACCTATGCTGAACACTTTTTAAAAATTTTTGGTGATTCTCATTTAAATTACAGAATATATTATTCGTAATGAGAATAAAAATATACGCACATTTTTTACCATGTAGACATGCACAGCACTATCATTTTTACTCCGGTTCAGTGATAAATACTTATATTAGTCCTATTATTATTAAATAATTATTGATCATCATTAGACTTGCTAATCAAAGCGCCCCCTATTAAGTGTGCTGTATTTTTTTAGATATATCAAGCTGTAATGAATTTTTTTTTAAATAGATAACATGCTGCAAGAAATTAGTTTTTTCTTCCTTATAATTGTTGTATACATGTAATGTAATGTAGTGGGATTTGATATAGCGCATTATACCGAAGTCTCAATGCGCTTAAAAAGTGATGAAAAAGCAACTGCTATTGTAACAACAAAAAAAAATGAATGTAGGATGATTTTAATTTAGGTAACAATGAGGCTACTGCATAACTACAGTTGCAAATTGTGAGCATGATTCTGGTTTGACTTCGTTTATTCAGTGCAAACAACAAACAACATATACAAACTAGGGCACTAGGATCCAACCCTTAAATCGGATCTTATATCCAGTGGAGTCTTTAACAAAGAATACAAAATTATCCCAAATAAAAATAACACTTAACTAAATTCTGCGTGTACAACCTTAATAGTCATCTTACATGCTACTTGCCCACTCGTTGCCTTCGATCTTCTTCACAAAATCTCACTGTTCAGAAATTTAACACAAGAACATAATGGCCACAGAATTAACCCCAAGAGTGAAATATATAGGATTAACATAGCCTCTTGTTTTGATAACAATTATGTTATTGAGGTATTGTAAGATTAAAAAAGTATTTTATAGCAGTTTTGTTTTTCAAAAATAGTGTCATCTATTTATAAGCATAAATCATTTTATATACATTCATTCATCTTTTTCTCATATTACAAGCATACATACATACATATATATATATATATATATATATATATATATGCCGGTATATAATGTAAATTTAATAAATACAATATTTTCTGTAGATTGTTAGCATGTTTTAAAATATATACTGAGGCATCTATATCATTAGTAACTTGATCTGTAGTTTAAATACAACTGAGATAATGTTTTATATACAGTTTGTCTAAGCGTCTTTCAAAAATTCTTTTTTCTACACACAAAAACCGATATAATGTCTGTCCTTAAAAAAACCCTCAAATTCAATAAAAAACTAAATTCCTCATGAAACGTTTTAAGTAGTCATCATACTAATGAAAAACGGCTACAAAACAGTTTACAGTCTATTTACATCAAGAATTTCCTAAATTAATTACCAGCCAATTAAGGCAAAGATAGGAACTGTACCTTATATTTAAAGGACATTTTTTCTCTATATAAATTTCAATTGAAAACCAATACAGTAACCACTCTCCTGAAGACGGTCAGAGCAATTTGTCGAGTCAACCAACTAATCAACCAGTGCTTTACCTCAACAACTATATTTTCACACAGTACCGAAAAAATTATTTGATTGTTATTGATACTCGCCATGCAAACCTTCAACAAATATTTTAACCAGTTGAACATATAAAAGTAATAATAGTAATCAAATATTGAATTTTATTAGCTTGAAACCTATACTATAGTACTTTCTTTAAACTTTTTTTCCCAACTGCATTTTGACCGTTCCTTCATACATCAATCGGACGATTGTCTTTCGAAAACAGTATTTATTAGGCAGAAAAACAAACAAAAGTTTTCGAAATTCAAACGTATGACGTAAGTTAGCTAAAGTTTTTGTTTGCAGAATTGGTCGGTTTCACTTCGTAAGCACAACGTTGGAAAAGTTTTTGCATACTGCACATGCGATCGAAGTAGGAGTGCCAATAAAGTTGTGATTTCGTAACGGACTAAATGCTTAGAAAAGGACAGTATTTTAAACTAAGGTTACGTTCACACAACATGTGCCAAATAATAGCCGCATGCGCATGCAATATTGAGCAGGTTCATCTGCTGTGGCTTTGCATAACAACCAATAAGCATGCTTGAAAGCTTAGTAAGGCACATATTTTGAGCACCAAAATTCAATTACGTAAGTTCGTTGAACATTCACGTTACCCCAGTCAGTAAAACAAAAAACATGTAGAAATACTCTGAAGCAAACTCTTTGCTTAGTATAAAACATGGTAAAAACATGGGTTTACGAGACTTTATTACTACGATGTATGTAATGTAAGTTGGACATTACATTACACCAAAATAACTTTTAGGGGAGTCTTTGTGATCACTGACTGTTAGGGCTTATAGTATATATAGTTATTGCATATCGCATATAAAGTGACAGATGATGATAATCGATATTGAATACCATGACATACAATGTCGATAGGTTCCTGGTCTTCATCTTCATATTTAGTTGGGCGATATTTTTGTCTTGAGTTTCAGCCTTACCTGCAAGAAAAGTAATTTTAATAAAAGAGCGCCTCCTATCGATATGCAATTCACAATAAATCGCCTTCCAAATATTAGTCAGATGTTATTTAGCATGTGATAATCGAAGTATGACACAATTTAGGCCAGTCATATCTTACCTGGTAGTTTAACGTACAGTATAACAGCGAGATCACTATACCCTAATAAAAATTCAAGAAAATTTGAACGACATTATAAACGTAATAAAGATCTTCTTAAAACAATTCTTTCACAATCTGATTTGAAGTGTGAAACTTAGACCTAGATACAAGCTAGCCCTTTTTCCCAGTAGATGTAACTGGTCGAAGAGCGCCTATAGATTTTTTTCCTTCACATTCAACAGCAAGTAGAAGACTAGACACTTACAGGATGGAACGATGCTTTAGAGTTGTTTCAGTCGGAAGAAAACAATCCTGTTGTGACAGGAATTGAACACAGGACCCAGGTATTAGAAGGCAAGCATCTTAACCACTAAGTTATTCTACTCAAATGCAAATGATGCCACGTTTCGTACAATGACAATTAAAATGATATTGATATTGAGGATGATATAAAGTAAGAAAATACGGGCTTTACCAGTAGGGCATGAAAGATGAGAAACAAATACGGCATCTTGGTTTTGAATGGATCGAGTTCCATAAATGCGAACAACCATGTTACGATGTATAGAATTAGCACACAGACAAAGGCCACAAAGTTGCTCCTGAAAAGGAGAAAAACGATGTCAAAGGTTGGTTATCTGATAACGTACTAACAGATTATTGTTATTGAATTGTCTTAATTAATAAAATGCATAATTCAATTATATTTAACAGATAATAAAACACATACAATATAATATTGAAATGAAAAAAATATAAGCCATCTTGCGATTAATCTGAAATAATGTAAAATAATTGTTTAATGACAGAAAATATGAAGAGATCTACAAAAAGGAAGAAAACATCTCCTCAGCTGAAATTACAACATGTTTCTTGCTTGCTTGCTGAAACCATAACCACAAGACTTCGTGGAGAACCGGAATAAAGTACTGCCATGTTGATCTCAGTGGGCTGTTACAGCTATGCTGTTATAGGCCTATGTGTATCGGAAGTGAAAAAAGTTGCTTTGTATTCGAATTTTATAAGGTTGTTGCATGAAAGCGCATTTTCTGGTTGAGCTTTTTTTTTTTTTTTGCTGATCTGATATCGCGACATTTTACGGGGATTTAATATTGAAATGAATAATCCTTTTAACGTCCTAGATATCGTGTGGTGCTATCTTGGGTGCACCATACAGAATGGTTGCAAGAAATAAGGGTGCGCAGTTTCTGGTTGAGCTGTGACCTTAACGAAAGAGTTTTTTTTTTTTTTTGCTGATCTGTTATCGCCATATCTTACGGGGGTTTAATATTGAAATAAGGGTGCACAGTTTTTGCCTCATAATATATTTCTTCAGTAGTGGCACAGGTCAGAATAATTAAGTTTTACTAATTTACCAACTTTTAACTTCGAAAGCCAACGAGGATCCAGTGAGATCGAAATGCTTCATCCAAAAGTTTATTTATTATGGGCTTATTTAGTTTATACATATATTTAAATTTCATTTATCTTACCAATATGATTGCAGATCCATTTTAGGTAAGCAATTTAAAACTAAAAATGTATCAAAAAAGGCAGTTTCTGAAATACTTAATCTTTGCAAAGGGATGGACAAAAGGAAACGCAGTCTTTTATCATTATTGGTGTGGAATTGGCGCCATATAAATTATCTTAAAGATCGACAAAATTTGTAACTCTAAGGCAGGCAATATTTGTGTCAATTTCGATTTGTTAATTACCTGAATAATCGAAATCTGTAACACACAGTTTTTATGCACCAAACAAGATTAGCAAATACCCAACTATACTGTCAATATAGGCCAAATTTTACGTCAAAAGTTACAATAAACACGTCTTTCAAACGTTTATAATGAATGAAAAGACAATTTCAAATAGTACGAATGCAGTAATGCATCTAATAAAATGAATGATACTAATAAACGACATGTTTCGGCGCGTCAAACGTCATCTTCAGGCAATAGTGTGACCGGTTTATTTACTAGGCCTACCTAATGGTCAGATGTATGGTTACCAACTAAGGTAAAGCCATGTATACTATAATAAAGCTGAATACTGTGGTACGTCATGTATATACGAATTAGAATGAAAGAGTAATATTGTAATGAGTTGTTTGTTTGTTAAGAGATGAAATTTCCCCAAGCAATAAAGGGCTTCTTTAATTTTAAATTGGTAGTTATTGTGTGCGGAATCAAGAAACCGTCTAAATTAAATGCGTTTTTGCATGTAACTGAGTTTTGACAATTAACTCAGATTAACTCAGTTTTCTTATACAACCGGACTCCAAAGATCATTTATTTAACTTCTCACATTCTAATTTTCTTGTTGACCTGATTGACATTTCACTAATTGGACATTTGTAATCAAAATATATGCAGTCTTTCAGTCAGTCAGACATCACATCATATGCATCTGTTGTTCCTTGTCATTATGAAATACATTTGAGAACACCACAATAGTCAACTCCATTATACAATACAATCAATCAATCAATCATATCAAACGAAGGTCAGGAAATGACAAGCGATAAAAATCACTATAAATCAACGAGTCAATATTTCCTACACATTAAACAAAATCTACATGAAAGTAGCAATGCATACATATATAAGCCAAAGTTCTCAAATATGGAACGGCGATCAAAAAGTTAAGATTTTCACCTACTTAAATGTCTTGTATTCTTCTTCATCACTGCTGTCTTTCACCCTATTCTGAAGAACTCCAATAACGATTACACACACAATACCAAACTATGAATAACAACAAAATTAAATCAAGATTTAGGCACTCGCCGCCACGGAAAACTCGTGGAAAGTGTTTTAATGCTTAAGTGTCATATGGGAACCTGAGGTGCCGAGGAACCAATGTTTGTATTAAATTTTGCCGATTTTTTTTGCGAATTCATTACACAATTGCGTTTTACGGCATTGCAGTTTTTCCAGATCAAACGTGTTATGAGACTCGGAGTAAGAAGTATATGCATTACCAAATAATAATATTACTATAGTTATAAGAATAACGATACGATATTGTTGTAACTATAGTAATATTATAGTTATAAAAAATAAAGTATAGACCCAACGAAGTATTTTGAACGTTAAGAACAAACTCAGCGAAAAGGTTTTCGTTGAGCAGTTTCTGTTGAGCACAAACGTTCCAATTCGAATACGACAAATATCGTATCGTTATTATTATAACTATAGTGACATTATATTTATAACAATAACGATACAATATTGCTATAACTATAATATTATTAATTATGACAATACTGTATCGTTATTGCTATAACTAACGATACGATAACAATGATAATATTTAGAATAATAATACTGTAATAAAAATAATAATAATAATAAATAACTATTAGAACTACAGTAGAACAAAAAACAAACAATAATATGTAATAATAAATAATATTTATTAATAATAATCATAATGATGATAATACCATTTTAAAAACAGTATATAAAACTATTACTATGTATTGAATGTAATCGGAATAATTTGATATAACTGAAATGCTATCCTGGTAAATTACGTTTTAAATTAAAAAAAATAAACTATTGATAGTAACAGTACAGCTTAAAAATATCAAAAAAAGTCATTTTATTGTTAAATTATTATACACGTACAATACATCATACTATCAGGCTATTTATATGAGAATTTTGTTCTTTATTGGTGTGCCATTGAATTGAATCAACGTTAGCTTAGATGTTTCAGCATTAGCAGTACCGTAACTGTCCACATTGCCTACGTTATCGTGTGGGTTCACAGACACTATTGCGTTAACTTTATTATGTTGTCATTAACAAGTGTTTATAATTGAGTTGTCTTATTAATGAAATCACTTACCAATTGCACAAGGCCGATTGGTATATGCATACTCCACCATGTACCAATCTTGAAAGACAACCAGCAGCTAGTAAAGATTTAATAGACATTTAATAATCATGATGATCACGATGATGATCATGGTGGTGGTGATGACGGTTTTGATGATGATGATGATGATGATGATAATGATGATGATGATGATGGTGATTATTATTGTTATTATTATTATTATTATTATTATTATTATTATTATTATTATTATCGTTTTTATTATTATCATTATTAAAATTACCATTGTCGTAATGCTGTCGTAGTCCTTTTTAAGATATAGATATCGTTATTGTTGCCGTGTTCAAAGCAATATAGGCCTATGTGGCGTTATTGTTGCCGTTATCGTTATCATTATCATTTTAACTTCATGATTATAATGTTTACTTACAATTTCTGCAATGGCGATGGTGGCCCATACCCGTCAGTGGCGATAATAATAGCAATTACAGAAATTAACAAAGGTAATCCTATGATAAAAATAAATAACAAAATATTGTGTTATGTTTTGATCCACCGACAACTGATTGATGTTTTTGCAGCTATACTAAGGTACCTTGTAGGGCCTACAATAGGACTAAATCTATTCAAAACAATTATGTAATATGTTATATGGGAGTTTAATAATAAATAAAATGTGGTGGATGAGTTAAACTAGAGAGGGCAATGCCGTACTGCAGTGAGTTCGTCATATTTTCAATAGACCACACCTAAAACCTTTCTTTTATCTTTAAAGGAGTCATCACTATGAGAGACAAAATGGTATACACAACAAAATGTTTCATCACTTTCAAGCAATACACGTAAAAAATGTAGGCATGTTATTACGTTTTACCACGTCACCTTATACACACCAGATGGATTGGATTATATTCGGTATAAACACAAGGATAACCCACGAAAGTCAGCAGAAGACGTATTTCCAGTGAGGAGAGTGCACTGCGTTCTTTAACGTGTACTTGGAACATATTGCACACGGGACCAACGGCTAAAAGGTCTGTCTCGAAACATGCATTTCAGCCCTCCAACTGAAACACAAAGAGACCAGCGATGGGAATTGAACCGAGGACTAAGAGATGGTTCAGCGGACACACAGTGGATCACCAGTTTAGCCAAATGAGCTAAGCTGCTTTCTCAGAGCAAACCTCTGGTGTAATTCTAGTGTTGAAATGTGATAATAAAATAGTGCGAGTTTGGCTATTTTTTGGCGACTTCTTCCTTGGACTACTCATCGGGACAATTAGATTTTTAGGGTCCATTTTTTTTACGCTGTTTACAGATACATTAAACTAAACCTAATGTCATGAAGTATGCAACTCAATTTTTCTGGATAACAGCACTTAACAAATCATTTTTTTTGTATCCCTTTTTACTGTATTTTGTTTATACTAATAAAGTTGAAGATAAATAATATAAGTGAAATAGATAAAGTGAAATACAGTGAGATTTCACTCTGCTGAGAGTGGATTTCACTATTTAAATTTTTATTGATAACGTTAATATTCACTCATTTTAGAGTGAATTTTCACTCGAGAAAGAGAGAAATTGGATTGATCTTTGTAGGCACTCTTTTAGAGTGAAATTCACTCTTTTATAAGAAAGTAAGTGCTTGGTATTAGGAGTGGATAAATGTGACGGCATAAAGGACCGTTACATTTCAGTATACATGGGCTTAAGACCGACATTGTCATCATCACCACCACCACAGTTTTGAATATTTAGTTGATTAAACCTCACAATTCAATATACACAATACGGTAGTCATTATCATTTGAAATTATTCGGACATGTTTACTGCCTCATAAATCAAAATACACAATAGTTATTAACATTTGAGATAATTAATTGAACACGATAAAATGTCTTAGCACAATCAATGTGTAATAGTCTTCAAGGTCATTTTACATAATGGCCATTATAAATTTATAATACTTAGCTAATCATTGCTTTGGACATTATTGGACAAAGACAGTGGAGTAGTGGACAAAATAATTTTTTTCGCCAATAAATATGTGCCTTATCAATCAATAACCAAGGTCATTAAAAAAATACTGAGCACGAATAATTCACAGCACGTTATCATCGCTTGAAATCATTTGATTTAATAGGCTAATAATGATGTCTATACCACAAGATATCAACATAAGCCTAATACACAATAAATTTCAACTAGGTTGTTATAGTATTCTGCAAATCTGACAACATTTCTAAGTACAAAGTTTGCTGCACAAAACACAAAGGAATATTTGTGAAACAAAACAACTTTTATTCAACCATGAGGGTGGGGGGAATAAGCTCGAACCCGAACCCTTGTTAGCAAATGTGCTTGGAACAGCGGAGTCCAAGAGAAGAACATTTTATTGTTGAACAATTGTATTTGTCTACGAAAATATGTTATTGACAAGAGCAGTGGTGGACCAAAAATGTGGTGGATTGTGGTGGTGGAAATCGAGGACGTGGTCCCGGGGAACACCTGGGTCCCAAGAGGAAGGCTGGGTATACTCAGGCCTAACTATTATCCGGGCCAAGGAGCTTCCCCTGTGGAATTTTTGTAGATTTTATCCATTTTTGTCTTTTTTCGTATAAAAATTAATGATTTCACACTGAGATAGATATGTTGGCCTCGCCTCCCTATCCCAGGTTTCTGGTTTCAAATCCCGTAACACCCACATCTCTCCACTCCCCAAACCTCACAACGAGCCATAGTTTTATACATGCTGTAAGAAAGGAAATGTACTGGATGAGAATGAAATAAAATACAATACCCCAACCAATCGCCAACATCAGCCACTTCTTCCATACCCTAGTAATTCCATGGCTCAGAGTGACGAGGAGGTGAACGCCTTCCATTGCAAACTGACAAGCTCCGACCACGTAGAAATATTGAATCAGGAAAGCCATCAGTTTACATCCGGACTAGTGCAAGAAAAATAATTTAAAATATTTCATGAAGTTATATATTTGAATAATTGACACACTGAGCGAAGCAATTCAATTTTCACTGATATACAAATATATTTACTAATATCAATAAATTTACTACTTTTATTACTACTACTATACAGTATTACTAATAGGGCCTACTATTGTTATCTCCGCTGGGAGATATATTTGGGTTTTTTTTAGTCGTTTATTTGTGTTTGTGTGTGTGTGTCATATTTTTGTGTCGTGTGTGTGTGTATTTTTTGGGGGTTTTGTGTGTGTGTGTGTTTGAATTATCTTAAAAACAGCTGCACAGATATAAATGAAAATAACAGGGAGTGTTATGTATGACCCAATGAACAAATGATTACATTTTGGTGACGGTCTGGAGTAGGGTGTAAATGTGAGGACCAATTAAACAGATTTAAGAGCAAACATTCTACACCAGATGTTTCAAAAACGTGTCAACTTATATGAATACAAATTTTGTGAAAGTTTAACCAAGGAAGAAATAATTGAGTGTTGGTGACGATCCAAATTCAGGTGTGAATTTGAGGGTCATTTAGAATCCTAAGGTCCCAGACCTAAATATCTCTAAAAATAATCAAAACATCTAAATGACACTACCCAGATGTTTCAATGCAGAAATGATAGAATTTTGCTGACCATCCGGAGTGGGGTGTGGATATGAGGACCATTTAAAGGAAAAAGTCCCAGACCAGATATTTCAAAAACTAATCAATTGATCTGAATGCAACTTTCGTGAAAGTTTAACCAAGTTGCAAGGAAGAAATTATTAAGTGTTGGTGGCGATCCAAATTCGGGTGTGCATTCGAGGGCCATTAGGTCCCAGACCAAAATATGTCTAAAATGGATCAATAAATCTCAATGACACTTTCCAAAATAGTTTTTCATGTTTTAATGAAAAAGTGTTTAAATTTTGGGCACGATCCAAAGTAGGATGTGGATATAAGGACCATTTAAAGAATATGTTTACCGTATACCGTAGGCAGATAACAATAGCTATATGAATATTCAAATTAGTGCAATTACAGTAAATGTGTACAGCGTCTTATATGTACTTAATTCAGTTTTTGGGAGCTGATTGGGAATATTTTTAATGCATCTTTATATTTAAGTATGTGACGCTAAGAACCATTGACTATTTTGCATAATATTTCCATTTTAACACCAATAGGCAACTACAAAGTAAAATGTTCCCGTGTGTTTAACCAGCAAAAGTAAAAACTTGGCAGGTAAACAACTAATACAATAAAAGGCCTAAGGTGTTTCCGGTTAGTGTATTAGTGGTGGTTGGAAAGTTTCAGTACTTGAAAATAAAATGTTTCAATATTATATGTTGCTTGGATTCTGTATTCAAAACGTAACATGCATACTGACAAGTAGGCCGACAGTGAATGTCGGTAAAATCATTTCGGATTACAAAAATCTAAAAATGTCTCCAAAAACCTAAGCTAAAAGTGGAAATAGTACCCCTCTTTGAAGTAAAAAAAGTATTTGAGCGAGTTACTGTGCGTTTTTGAAGAGGAGTGGAGCGAAGTGTAGTGGGGTGGTATTGGTGGTGGTTGAAGCAAAATTGAAAAATATTTTGGGAGATATATTTTATAGAAAGGATTTGCCGTGGGCAGAGATATGTTACTTGTTACTACTATTTTTATTGTTGTTGTTTAAAACTACTACTACTACTATAAATAATAATAACAATAACCATTGTCACTTTATTATGATAATTATTATCATTATTAATAATATTATTGTTGTTGTTATTACTATTTTTTATTGTTATTGTTTACTATTATTATTGACAATATTATTGCTGTTTTATATTTTTATTTTTGTTAATAATAATGATAATAGTAATAATAATAATAATAATAATAACAATAATCATTGCCATTTTTATCATTATTGTTAACAATATTACTGATATTCGAATAGTTTCATCTTGTTTGCTTATAATGATTGTAGAACTGTTTAATCGATAATAAACGAAGCACAATTTGATGTAAATTTACTGCAATAAAGTTTACATCAAATTGTGTTTGGTTTATGATAAACATTTCTTCAAATATTATTGTATTGTTATTGTTTACTATTATTATTGACAATATTATTGCTGTTTTATATTTTTATTTTTGTTAATAATAATGATAATAGTAATAATAATAATAATAATAATAACAATAATCATTGCCATTTTTATCATTATTGTTAACAATATTACTGATATTCGAATAGTTTCATCTTGTTTGCTTATAATGATTGTAGAACTGTTTAATCGATAATAAACGAAGCACAATTTGATGTAAATTTACTGCAATAAAGTTTACATCAAATTGTGTTTGGTTTATGATAAACATTTCTTCAAATATTATTGTATTGTTATTGTTTACTATTATTATTGACAATATTATTGCTGTTTTATATTTTTATTTTTGTTAATAATAATGATAATAGTAATAATAATAATAATAATAATAACAATAATCATTGCCATTTTTATCATTATTGTTAACAATATTACTGATATTCGAATAGTTTCATCTTGTTTGCTTATAATGATTGTAGAACTGTTTAATCGATAATAAACGAAGCACAATTTGATGTAAATTTACTGCAATAAAGTTTACATCAAATTGTGTTTGGTTTATGATAAACATTTCTTCAAATATTATTGTATTGTTATTGTTTACTATTATTATTGACAATATTATTGCTGTTTTATATTTTTATTTTTGTTAATAATAATGATAATAGTAATAATAATAATAATAATAATAACAATAATCATTGCCATTTTTATCATTATTGTTAACAATATTATTGCTATTCGAATAGTTTCATCTTGTTTACTTATAATGATTGTAGAACGTTTAATCGATAATAAACGAAGCACAATTTGATGTAAATTTACTGCAGTAAAGTTTACATCAAATTGTGTTTGGTTTATGATAAACATTTCTTCAAATATTATTGTATTGTTATTGTTTACTATTATTATTGACAATATTATTGCTGTTTTATATTTTTATTTTTGT